GGGATTTCCTGGATATTCCCACTTTTCCCGGCCTGTCCTTAATCCTGATTTCCTGGGATTTTCTGGGATTTCCCTGGGATTTTCCAGGCCTGTCCTATATCCCAATTTCCTGGGATTTCCTGGATATTCCCACTTTTCCCGGCCTGTCCTTAATCCTGATTTCCTGGGATTTTCTGGGATTTCCCTGGGATTTTCCAGGCCTGTCCTATATCCCAATTTCCCGGGATTTCCTGGATATTCCCACTTTTCCAGGCCCATCCTAAGTCCTGATTTCCCGTTTTTTCAGGCCTGTCCTAAATCCTGATTTCCCGTGATTTCCCGGATATTCCCACTTCCCCAGGCCTGTCCTAAGTCCAGATTTCCCGGGATTTCCCTGGGATTTTCCAGGCCTGTCCTAAATCCCGATTTCCCGGGATTTTCCAGGATTTCCCTGGGATTTTCCAGGCCTGTCCTAAGTCCCGATTTCCTGGGATTTTCTGGGATTTCCCTGGGATTTTCCAGGCCTGTCCTAAGTCCCGATTTCCCATTTTTCCAGGCCTGGCCTAAATACTGATTTCCCGGGATTTTCCTGGGATTTTCCAGGCCCGTCCTAAGTCCCGCTTTCCCGTTTTTCCAGGCCTGTCCTAAATCCCGATTTCCCGTGATTTCCCGGATATTCCCGCTTTTCCAGGCCCATCCTAAGTCCGGCTTTCCCGTTTTTCCAGGCCTGTCCTAAATCCCGATTTCCCGTGATTTCCCGGATATTCCCGCTTTTCCAGGCCCATCCTAAGTCCGGCTTTCCCGTTTTTCCAGGCCTGTCCTAAATCCCGATTTCCCGTGATTTCCCGGATATTCCCGCTTTTCCAGGCCCATCCTAAGTCCGGCTTTCCCGTTTTTCCAGGCCTGTCCTAAATCCCGATTTCCCGTGATTTCCCGGATATTCCCGCTTTTCCAGGCCTGTCCTAAGTCCGGCTTTCCCGTTTTTGCAGGCCTGGCCTACATCTGCGAGGGGCTGCGGGAGCAGCGCCGGGGGCTGGTGACGCTGGTGCTGTGGAACAACCAGCTGAGCCACGCCGGCATGGCCTACCTGGGAATGACCCTGGTGAGAATTCCCGCCCGTTCCCAGCGTTCCGGAAAAAACGCTGATTCTTTTCCGGTGTTAATTTGTGGATTCCCGGGGTTTTCTGTTGGGTTTCTGTTGAGTTTGGTTGGGTTTCCGTGGATTTTCTTTGGTTTCCATTGGTTTTTCATGGGTTTTCCGTGGATTTTCCTGGAATTTTCCATGGATTTTCTTTGGTTTCCATTGGTTTTTCGTGGGTTTTCCGTGGATTTTCCTGGAATTTTCCATGGATTTTCTTTGCTTTCCATTGGTTTTTCATGGGTTTTCTGTGGATTTTCCTGGAATTTTCCGTGGATTTTCTTTGGTTTCCATTGGTTTTTTGTGGGTTTTCTGTGGATTTTCCTGGAATTTTCCATGGGTTTTCCATGGATTTTCGTTGATTCTCCATCGATTTCCGTGGATTTTCCTTGGTTTCCTATTGGTTTTCCATTGATTTCCATGGCTTTTCCATGGATTTTTCTTGGTTTTCTGTTGGTTTCAAGGGGTTTTCCATGGTTTTCACATGGATTTTCCATGAATATTCCATGGTTTTCTGTTGATTTCCATGTGTTTTTCGATGGTTTCCGTTGGTTCTCCATGGGTTTTCCATGGTTTTCCATTGGTTTTTGATGTGTTTTCCATGGATTTTCCATGGGTTTTCCATGGTTTTCATTGGTTTTCCTTGGGTTTTCCATGGATTTTCCTGGGAATTCTATTGGTTTCCATGGCTTTTCCATGGTTTTTCTATGGATTTTCCTTGGAATTCTATTGGTTTCCGTGGGTTTTCCATGGCTTTTCCATCATTTTCCATTGATTTTCCATGCGTTTCCCATGTGTTTTCCATTAATTTTCCATCAATTTCCATGGATTATCCGTGGCTTTCCATTGGTTTCCGTTGGTTCTCCAAGTGTTTTCCGTGGCTTTTCCGTGGATTTCCTTCGGTTTTTGTTGGTTTTCCGTGAGTTTGCCGTGGATTTCCATGGATTCCGCTTAGTTTTCCATTGGATTTCCATGGCTTTTCCATCAGTTTTCCATGGATTTCCTGATTTCCGTGGATTTTCATGGAATTTCCATTCGTTTTCCCTTGCTTTCCCATGGATTTTCTCATTTTCCCATGGATTTTCTCATTTTTCCCATGGATTTTCCCATGAATTTCCCCATGGATTTTCCTATGGATTTTCCCATTTTTCCCATGGATTTCCCCATTGATTTTCCGTGGATTTTCCCATAGATATTCCCAAGCATTTTCCCTAGATTTTCCCATGGATGTTCCCATGGATTTTCCCATTGATTTTCCCATGGCTTTTCCGTAGATATTCCCATGGCTTTTCCATGGATCCCCATGGCTTTTCCATGGCTTTTCCCATTTTTCCTTGTATCCCCATGACTTTCCCATGGCTTTTGTCGTTTTTCCCTGAATTCCCATGGCTTTCCTGTGGCTTTTCCCATGGCTTTTCCATGGATTTTCCCATGGCTTTCCCATGGCTTTTCCCATTTTTCCCTGAATTCCCATGGCTTTTCCCATGGCTTTCCCATGGCTTTCCCATGGATTTTCCCATGGCTTTTCCCATGGCTTTTCCCGTGTTCCCAGCCGCACACGCTGAACCTGGGCCACAACGCGGTGGGGAACGAGGGCGTGCCGAGCTTCCATGGCTTTCCCATGGCTTTTCCCATGGATTTTCCCTGAATTCCCATGGCTTTTCCCGTGTTCCCAGCCGCACACGCAGAGCCTGGAGACGCTGAACCTGGGCCACAACGCGGTGGGGAACGAGGGCGTGCGGAACCTGAAGAACGGATTGATCGGGAACCGCTCCGTGCTGCGCCTGGGCCTGGCCTGCACCAAGCTCACCTGCGAAGGTCCCGGGAACGCCGTCCCGAGGAATTCCGGGCGGGCTCGGGAGAGTTGGGAGGGGGTCGGGAATTTGGGATGGGCTTGGGAAGGTTGGGGTGGGCTTGGGAAACTCAAGTTGGGCTTGGGAAAGTTGGGCTTGGGAAAGTTGGGATGGGCTCGGGAATTTGGGATGGGTTTGGGAAACTCAAGTTGGGCTTGGGAAAGTTGGGCTTGGGAAAGTTGGGATGGGCTTGGGAAAGTTGGGATGGGCTTGAGAAGGTTGGGATGGGCTCGGGAATTTGGGGTGGGGTCGGGAGAGTTGGGAGGGGCTCAGGAAAGTTGGGATGGGCTTGGGAATTTGGGATGGGCTTGGGAAACTCAAGTTGGGCTTGGGAAAGTTGGGCTTGGGAATGTTGGGATGCGCTTGGGAAACTCAAGTTGGGCTTGGGAAAGTTGGGCTTGGGAAAGTTGGGCTTGGGAAAGTTGGGATGGGCTCGGGAATTTGAGATGGGCTCGGGAAAGTTGGGGTGGGGTTGGGAGAGTTGGGGTGGGCTTGGGAATTTGGGATGGGACTTGGGAGAGTTGGGAGGGGCTCGGGAAAGTTGGGATGGGGTTGGGAAAGTTGGGATGGGCTTGGGAAAGGTGGAATGGGTTTGGGAAAGGTTGAGGGTGGGCTTGGGAAAGTTTTGATGGGCAAGCTTTTTACCCAATTCCCTAGAATTCCCCACAATTCCCAGGACTTCCCAGGATTTTTTTCTCCCCAAATTCCCAGGATTTCCCAGGATTTTTCCCCCCAAACTCCCAGATTTCCCCCCCAAACTCCCGTATTTCCCCCAAACCCCCATATTTCCCCCCAAATTCCCGTATTGCCCCCCCAAATTCCCATTTTTCCCCCCAAACTCCCAGATTTCCCCCCAATTCCTGTTTTCCCCCCCAAAATTCCCAGATTTCTCCCCAAACTCCCGTATTTCCCCCCAAACTCCTTCATTTCCCCCCCAAATTCCCAGATTTCCCCCCAAATTCCTGTATTTCCCCCTCAAACCCCCAGATTTCCCCCCAAACTCCCAGATTTCCCCCCCAAACCCCCAGATTTCCC